TAGTGTGTGCCCCCTTTTCTTCCACATTTGAACATCAGATTTTCCCATCTCCATTCACTTATCTCATAATAATTTCTCTTATTAATTAATTTTTAAAAGCAATCTACTTACATAGTTTCTTAATATATTTTAAAACTTAACATTTCCTCAAGAACATCTTCCTTTTCCTTACTTCGACACTCTCATGGTTCCCAAGGGCTCTCAAATTTGAGCAGATATCACAGTTACCTGAGGAGCTTGTTGACATACAGATCAGTAGTTCCATCCACAGAGTTTCTGACTCCATCAGGGTCTTTTTGTTTGGGGGGTGCAAGTTGGAAATGTGCATTTTAACAAGTTCCTAGGTGATGCTGATGCTTCTGTTCCCAAGTCCACCCTTGAGAAGCAGTGATCCAGGTAAAATACCGTAAGAGATGGGGGGTGGTGTGGACTAAGGCCGTGGCAGGGTAGATGGAAAGAAGTGGATGAATTTGACGTATATTTAGGTAGTCGAATCAATAGGGCTTATCCACCATTTCCATGGAAAGGGAGGAGAAGGATCGAGCGTGTCTCTGTGGTTGGTAGCTTGAACAAATGCATGGATATAACAATACCCCTGAAATGGGCAATGAGCAGGGCAGAAGGGTTGGATCGTAGTAGCAAGTCACAAATAAAATAATTTTAAACTGTCAAACACAGTGCTGGACATAGCGTACATTTTCAATAAATGATAGATATTGATATTGCTGTTATTACTACCTTTACTATTAAACCTGAATAGTCCTAACTGACCCCACACTGCTACAGATAACATCCTAAATTCATCACTCAGCAACCACACTCCAGAGCTAGGAACTCCTCCTTTGTGCAACTCATGAGATTTAGGTATGGAAGAGGTCATTTTATAGATATTACCCCATGGTATGAGGGAGTAAAAGAAGGAAGAGCAAAGTGAAGGAAAAGGGGAATAAAGGGTAAGTCACAGAGAACTGTTATCTGCATCATCACAGACAGCCTCGCAACAACCATACTAAATGGGTGGAACTACTCCATCGCACAGATGAGATCAATAACTTGCCCAATAAATCACTTGCTCAATAAATCACTTGCTCTTTCACTCAAGTCTTATAGAAACGTGAGCACAAATTCACACCAGCTCTTTTCTGACCCCATTATCTTTGCGCTTCCTACTACCAAACTCTATAAGCAAGGGACTGGTTATCTTGCTTATGCCAGAATGATGATGACCTGAACAGGTTGCTGGCAACACTCTGTAACGTCTAGACTAGCGGCTTTTAGGTAATCTTTTGTACTACTGACTCATAGGAAGAAGCACTTTTTACAAAGCAAGCCAGAATTTACATTTATGTGTACATGTGTAACCGTGTACAGGTGTTGCACATGCAAGTAAAACAATGTGACAGAGACTTTAAAAAATAACACATTGAGATAAGTACATTATCAATATTTGCTCTTAACAATAAAGATTGCATTCCGATAGCTTTCTTTTCATTCATTGTAACAAATGTTCGTTGGGACCCACAGAATTGATTTCACAATCAACTTCTGAGTGTCTAGTAGATGTCCGGAAAATCCTCTTCTGGATCCCTTCCTTTGGAATCTGGAAGGATCCTTTAGAATTCACCCGTCAACTTTACAACAATGCTGAAGAGCTGGGTGAGAGAGGCCCACAGGACAGGAACAGAGGAGAGCAGGGTTTCTGTGCACCCATCTTCACCATCTGTGCTTGCCTCCTTCCAGAGCTTTGTGAAACTCCAATGCATCGCAATCTAGATGAAAGCGCTTTGGAAAGTAATTAAATTGTCTAGCTTTGATTTTGTTCCATGTAGCTGTGTTCACTTGGCCTGACCATTCAAGTTCTCTGGAGCCTGTTTCTTGTCGGAGAAATGAGGGGTTTGACCAAAATCACCTCCGGACCCTTCCCCAACCCTATGAGAAAAGTTTTTTGTAAGTGGTACCCTGTTTCAGAGTAAGTGGGACTCTTAAATACCATGATGGTGATTGTGGTGTTGCTGATTATTCTTTCATATTTTGTGAAAGAAAAAAAAAAACAACCCTGAAGGAATTTTTGGAGATAAAGACTGGCATTAGCTCAAGAAGAAAAGACTAAAACCTGGGAGAAGTAATCATACTCATTTTGAGGGGGTTACATCATGAAGTTGATGAGTCAAGAGGTTCGGCTTCATTTTTTAAATGGTCAACAAAACTATTCATGTTTCAGAAATAAAAAAGCAACTCCTCAAAATTTCACATTGACGTGCAGACAGCAAAATTATTGTTATCAAGCTCTTCCCCAAACTGGCCAGAGGTGACCTCTGAAAATGGTTTGCTAGTCACTTGAGCCAGAAAACCCCACAAAATCATGTGAATCAAGAGATTCAAACCTCTGTGTTCACTTTAAGAACATTTGCGAAACTTCGCAAGCCACCAAGGGTATGCGTATCCGAAAAGCCACTAAGTATCCTAAGGCCGTCACTTTGCAGAAGGAATGTGTTTCATTCCATTGTTACAATGGTGGCGTTCGTAGGTGTGACCAGGCCAGACAGTGGGGCTGGACACAGAGTTGATGGCCCAAAAAGAGTGCTGAATTTTTGCTGCACATGCTTAAGAATGCAGAGAATAATGCTGAACTTAAAGGTTTAGAGGTCCATTCTCTGGTCACTGAGCAAGTCCAGGTGAACAAAGCTCTAAGACGTGGGGTGGAATGTAACAAACAGACCTCATGGGTGGATTCACCCATGCATCAGCTCTTCCTGCCACACTGAGGCAATCCTAAACCAGGCGAGGAGGCTGCTCAGAAGAAGAAGATATCCCAGAACAAACTGAAGAAACAAACTTAGGCCTCAGGCCCTGGCTGGTGTAGCTCAGTGGATTGAGTGTGGGCCTGTGAACCAGAGGATCTCGGTTCGATTCCCAATCAGGGCACATGCCTGAGTTGCAAGCCAGTTTCCAGCAGGGGACACATGAGAGGCAACCACACATTAATATTCTCTCCCTCTTTCCTTTCCTTCCCCTCTAAAGATAAATAAATAAAATCTTAAAAAAAAAACCCCACAAAAACTTAGGCCTCAGAAATAAAGTCAGCTTAAAGTAAATGCTGATAAAAGTAACAGCAAAAAAAAAAAAAAAAAACCTCTTCTCAACATTCCCTTCACCCTGTCCCCCTGAATATTACTATCTAATTTTTCTACCCATTTATTAAGGAGCACCAGGAAAAGCAGCTTAAATATCTAGGGTAGATTGATTTATTCTGTAAGTGTCAAAATTCTATAAGTATCTCAATCCATATGCATGTGTTGCTATTAAAAGTCACCTATCTTTAGATGAGCCTAAAATATAAGCTCACCTCTGACGAGGTGGGTGGCAGTCAGTGTGGTCCTGCCTCATCTAGGACAGGGAAGCTGCACCCCTCATCTTCCAAATGTTAAGTGCTTCCCCCACCTCAACTGATGAGTTAAGAGAAAGACTTGTGATTGGTGCTGAAGAGTCAGCCCTCCCCCACCCAGGCCCTACCCCGCTGTTGGCTGACTCCAGCCAGTCACTTATGAGAAAGTATTTATTTATGCAGAGAACAAGCTGTCCACTGGTAGAAGCAGCACAGTTCTTCATATTTTCTTGAATTTAATAAAGTACCAAAGGCTAACACTGTACACTGAAATTCTTAAATATACCAGTAGAATCAGCTCTAAAAGGGTATTTTGCCAGTTTCCACCATTTACTTATTTTCATGTCTTTATAGATGTAGTAATAATAATAATGACTACCTCTGCTTTAACCGAATTTATTTGGATTACCAGCATCTTTGATATCAGCACCAGACAGTACCAGGTCCGGTCATGTTCATTCAGCTCCCAGCGCACTTTCTATATCAACACAATGCTTCCTTATCATCAAGGGAACCCTCTCTTTTTCCTTTTTTTTCTCTGCATAAGTATAGTAGTCAAGGATTATGCTTGTACATTTAATAACTTTCAAAAAAGCTTTTAAAATTTGAACTTTTCTGTAAGGGAGATTCGTCCATTTGCTTTGGTAGTTATCCCAGTAATTGATGCTTTTCAGTAAGGAGATTTCAGGACATGCTCTTAATCTCTTCTCTCTCTCCTTTCTTTCTTTCTTTCTTTCTTTCTTTCTTTCTTTCTTTCTTTCTTTCTTTCTCTCTCTCTCTCTTTCTTTCTTTTCCTTCCTTCCTTCCTTCCTTCCTTCCTTCCTTCCTTCCTTTCTTCCTTCCTTCCCCTTCCTTCCTCCTCCTCCTTCCTTCCTCCCTCCCTCCCTCTCTCTTTCTTTCTTTCTCTCTCTCTCTCTCTTTTTTTTTTTTTTTTGTGGGCTCAGAAGAAAAAAGCAACACCAGGAGGGGCCTCTAGAACAAGCAAGGGCTCTCTTTCTCCCTGGGGCACCTCACCTGCTTTTTCTTCTCTTTCCTATCACTCAGCCCTTTCACAGAAGGCCGGGTTCCTGATGGTTCCCCGACTGCTTCACAAAGTGATCAATTGCCAAATCAAAGGTGACTGTGCCTTGTCAAAGCCCAGGGAAAATTCTCTGAGTGGTTTTTAAAGAAAGAATCACAAAAGGGGTAATACCTCCTTCAGGGCTATTTCCCTCATAAAATAAATTGCCATGGATCTTGTCCTCGGAAAAACACAGGGCCCCAGTGTGGCCTGGCTAAATGGCTACAGCCATAACACTGAGTTTTGAAAAGGGTCCTTCCCTATGTCCTTGCTGTAAAGGAGCCATTAAAACCCAAAGGACATTGCTCCTAATTACCTGAAGCCCCTAGCAGTGCGCGGCACTGTGGGCGCCCTGGGACCAAAATGTCCCAATTAATGAAAATGATACAAACAATGGCTCGTGCCCGAGCTTTCACACTTGTTTTTCAACCAAGTTTGGGCCAGCTGAGGCGGAGTTGTAATTCCTTAGGTCGCCTGAGTTCCCGAGGGGTGAGGTGTGGATTGTGACTGATTGCTTGTGAACTCTTTCGGCAGCAGTAGCTTAAAGATGAGCTTTTGGCGTTTCTGGGACCCAAATGTTTCACTGAATGGCGAGATTGGAAACTTGTGCAGGCGGGAGACTGCAGCGCGGCTGCTCTTTCAACAGGCGATTTGTTCTCCTGTCTGTGGCTCATTTCCATGCAAAGAGCCTGACATCAGAGCACCTTTTGTTGCTAAACGCTTTCTGTAGCTTGGAGGGGAGAGAGTCATGTGGAGCTGGAAGAGCTCATTTTGAAGAGAGGGGTCCCGGGGAGTTCCTTCCAAGCTCCAGAGGCACCGCGGTCACCCCTGCGGGGCCCTGCCCAGACTTGCTGGCAGAAGTGAGTCGCGTGGCTTAGTGAGTCGGTCTCCGTCACAGGAAGAAACGCCTTCGCAGAGGATTTAATTGCTTCTGGCCTGCCAGTAATCCCCGCTGTAAAACTCAGTGGTGCAAACTTTGCCTCCAGCTACCCCGTGGCCGCGCGCAGCCGGGGTGGGAAAGTTCCTGGAGTTGTCAGTCGCGCACCCCGCCGCCACCTAGAGCCGAGGTGCCGGAGCCTGCGAGGGGTCCCCGCGGGTTTGCTGGGGGATGCCGCGCGGGGGCACGACTCAGTGACGCGGCGGGCGGGGACCTGGCGCCGGGGTCCGGCCGAGCGCCTGCAAGGGGCGTGAGTGCCCCAGGGACTGGGACGCGCAGCTAGCGTGCGGGATAAGGTCATGGAGGATGCGGGAGCTGCAGCCCCGGGCCCGGAGCCCGAGCCGGAGCCCGAACCCGAGCCCGAGCCCGAGACGGAACCAGAGCCCGAGACGGAGCCCGAGACGGGCGCCAGCACGTCCAAGACGTTCTCCCGGCTCTGGGCCGATGTGATGGGCATCCTGGTGAGTTCCCTGGAGCAGGGGAGACTCGGGAAGGGACGGTTGCGGGCCGCCGGGGCGCGGCAGCCCCTCTGCGGACCCCGAGCTCCCTGCGCGCGCGCCGACTTGGCCAGTCGGCTCCTTGGAGTCGTCCTTCTCTGGCCCCAGTTCTTGGGGGGTTAAATTTTACACACGGTATAGGATTTCAACCCTAATTAAAAAATAACCAGCCACAGATCACATCAAAGATTTTTTTTTAAAAACAATCGGGTGGTAGTCAACAATTTAATATGGGACACCTGCTGAGAAGTTGGTGTGGAAAGGGCTGGAAAGAACCCTTCAAAGAGTAAATGTAAATAAATAGTATTTTGCTGGCGTTGGGAAGAGACTGAGGTTGGCTGATGTTTATCTCTTCACCACTTGTTGTCTGACCAGGAGAGAAAAGCAACCGTAGCCTTACTCAGCGCCACCAAAAAGTTTACTTAGTCTGTTTGTAGTTTTTCAACTTGTAGAATTGCAGGGTGTTTGTTACATGTTTGGGACTAACAACAAAGGGGCTTATTCTGCTAAATGTCTTGTCATGTATTTTGAAATGTCCAGTAATGTTTTCAAACCGCCCGTGGATTTGGCATGCTTTCTGAAAAATAGTTCTGCACGGGGAATGAAGCTTCAGCTGCTGGGGGTTCGATGCCTGGGGGGTGTTTGATTTGCTTTGACGGAGCTGTGGGGAGGCAGGCGGAGGAATCAGCTGAGGGGACTGTTACCTTCAGACATCTTAATCCTCCTGTGGAAAGTCCTTTTTTGCTTAAAGATTTGGAGTTGGCATTTGTATAGATCGGCAAAAAGGGCTCAGGATATCCTTTGGAATCTTTGGTTTTTCAAGTGGATGATGTAGTTTTCAGAAAGAAACTTTCTGGAGCGATGAACAATGTGTTGTTTTTAGCATAGTAATTAAGCTCTTAGGCTTTACGGTGAGCTGGCCTGGTCAAATCCCAACTCCCAATGACTGATTATGGGACCGAGATATTTGTTCCCTCCCTCTGATCTTCAGATCCATCACCTGAAAAGTGAGGCAGAAGAGCCGTACGTACTCTTTAGGTTTGCCCACATTGAGCTCACCTGTTGTAGATGTAGGACTCAGTACACTGCCTGGCATGTAGTAGGTGCTCAAGAAAGAAGAGCTCTCTGTTTTTTTCTTTTTTCTGCACATGGTCTCGTGCCTGATTTTTGCTAGCTGAAGTCCCGGTGGCTGCATTTTCAGGGGTTTCAGGGGTCCACTGGTATCTGATCATCACTGTACCGAGAACCAGGGGAGGCCAGTCAAAGGTTTCTGTCGGCTCTTCTCACTCTCTGATATTTTAAAAATGTAGGTACTTTTAAATTTTAAACGTCCAGTCCTTGCATTTTCTGAACTTTACTAATGAGTAGAGAGTCCTTCAGTGAAATTCCCGAAAACCCAACGAACACTTTAAAGTTGTGGCGGTAGATTGTTTCTTAAGTTTGTCGAGCAGGAAGAAAGCTTATCTTATTTCTTCCTTAGATCTCATTGCATGTTATCAGTCCCTGAGAATGTGGGTTTGATAACATCACCTTGCAGCCTCACTAGGGCAAAGGCTGGGGAAGGGAGAGTTGGAGGAGCTCACCCAAAGGAAAGTGTGGGCTCAGGGTTGTTGGGAGGGGGAGGCTGGCTGGTGGCACTTGCTGGAAATTTGCTCTCCTTTCCCTGGCAGATTGTAGGCCTCTGTTGGGTCAACTGTAGAAGAGAGAGTTTTTTGGCTGAGTTATGAGATGGGGTGGGGCTCAAGAAACTCAGACCTCTGCTACTCACCGGGTGAAAAGAAAATATGTACTTTTAAATTGACTGATTGATTTTAGAGAGCAAGGGTGGGGGAGTGGGGAGAGAAACATCAATTTGATGTTCCACTTAATTATGCAGCCATTGGTTGCTTTTTGGATGTGCCCTGACCGGAGATCGAACCCACAACCTTGGTGTGCAGAGATGACACTCTAACCAACTGAACGACCCCGGCCAGAGCAAGAAAATGTGTACTTCTTACAAAACCAGTTCAGTGTGAGGCTGACAAGAGCGGAAAGAGTGTTCCAAATAGGTTATGCTCACTTATGTTTATCCATGTTTTTCTTTTCTTTTTAATTTATTATTTATTACTAATAGTGAAACCCACTTTGGAGTACAGTTAAAACTAACAACATAATACCTTTTGTTCTCTATATGATGTATACTTTTTGTTCCATTACTGCTGTCCCAATCTCCCCCCAATCCCCAACTCTTGCTCTCCCCTGCCCCGCCCCCTCTCCCACAGTCAGTCCCCATCCTGTTGTCCATGTCCATGGGTCCTTTATACTTGTTCTCTAACTAGGTTTTTCCCCTTTGTTCCTCCCTTGTCCCTCTCCCTCCTTCCCTCTGGTCCCTGTCAGTTTGTTACTTGTTTCCCTGCCTTTGGTTTGTTCCTTAGGTTCCTGTTACAGGTGAGATAATATGGTGTTTGTGTTTCCCCACCTGGCTTATTTCACTTAGCATAATGCTCTCCATTTCCTTTTTTTCTGCTGCATAGTATTCCATTGTATAACTGTATCACAGTTTTTTTTTATCCACTCATTTATTGATGGGCACTTAGGCTGTTTTCAGCACTTGGCTATAAATAACGCTGCTATGAATATAGGGGTGCATAGGTTCTTTTGAATTGGTCTTTCAGGATTCTTAGGGTATAGTCCCAGCAGTAGGATCACTGGGTCTTATCCATTTTTTTATACAGTATTTTTTTTTTGAGGTAAACTTGAACATCAGAATTGTTTCTTAGTAAAATTTGGAAGACATGGGTTACCTCTCCTTTGTGTGTCCCTGGAGAAAGTCACCAGGTTAAAAGGATCTCTAATCTGTTAGAAAGCTGCCATCTAATTGTTTATATGAAACTGCATCTTTGGGGGAAGGTATCAACACACCGATAGTTGCCATTCTCTGTTTTTACTGAGATTCTTGAAAACACAGTTTCCTTCATTTTGTATTTAAAGTAAGGGACTTTGCAATCTTTCAGCATGGATAGGAGATGGGACTGGACCCATGGCATGTATTCCTTGTTAGCTGACAGTGTCAGGCTGGACCCCCACCACCAGGAGCCTGATGCCATGACTCTCCATTGCTAACTGTCCCAGACGTACTTGGTAGAGATGTAATGACATTCGGTACTTTAGGAAAATGCTATTTGAACGATTGTTTTTCAGTACTGAATTCAAGGGGAGTAGAACTTAGTGCAGGAAATACACAGCCAAACACACTAACAAGGGTTTCAGGCCCTGCTGCTGCTTTATTGATGTCGATTTTTCCAAGGTGTAAAAAACAAACCTCAAGTCCTGTTAGGTTAAAACTTTTTTAAGTGAGTGAGCCCAGTTTCTGCCCTCAGTGATTGGGTGTTGCCCCAGAGGCAGAGGTCTCACTCCATAAACACGGGTGGTTGAGTTTATCAGGACCCATTTTGCATTTAAATTAATTCAGGCCTTCACGGTTCCTCACCAAGTAGTTGCTTTTAGATACTCATTTAGAAAATGCTTGTTTAGAGAAGAAATAATAGTATAATTTATAGCATGAAATTGAGCTGTGCTCGAATGAATAAATGCTACTAAGTGAATATGTAAATAGAGACTTAGGAGAAAATGAATGCAGCAAAACATTGTCGATTGTAAATGCCAGGACGGCAGGGTAAAAATTTTACTCATTTTTCTATCCCCAGAGCCTGGGCCTGATTGGGTGCTGAGAACATGGTTTTATTAAATATAAAAGAAGAAAAGATGTGCTTATTACTTTGATGTGCAGAAGCCACATCAAAATACAGTTTTGTAAAGGCTCACGTACACGCGTTAATAAATTGGACAGTCTCATTATGCAAACTAAAACCCCGGTGCTTACTGGGAACAGTAGAAGCAAATTCTGAACCCTGAGCAGTTAAACCTCGGCGTTCTTGTGAAGTGTGCTCTTCTCTTCTCGAACTCTGCCACGTGTGGCCTGCCTGGATTTCCAGAGCATGTAACCTTTCACCAGGGCCCGCTTAGCCTTCTGCCTAGAAGTGCAAAAGAAGTTAGAATCCTGTGGGATTTTACTCATTATCTTTAGTCTGTGTTGCAGACACAGCATTTCTTTTTCTTTCTTTCTTTTTCTTTTTTTTGGGGGGTGGTGGTGGGGGAGGTTAGATGTTTTTGAGAGTAGGAATTGCTAAAACAATTAAGAGGTGGTTAGATATGGTAGGGCAATCTTTGAGCACTTCTTATCCATTGGGTAAATTGTTCTGGTTCTTAACTTTTCCCTCCAGAATTTGAGGTCCTCTTAAAGCTGAGCCAGGCCTTCAGAACTACTCGTTATCTGGAAATGGAGGGGAAGAGAGTTTGTAAGTGACTATTGTTTGCAAGATCCTGCAAGAGGTACCTCCCCCAACCTTATACTTCCTCTGTTCCCTGCTCTGTTCCTACAGTTTACACCCATTTCCTAGCCATGCTTAGAGAATATCCTTTGTGTGGAGATACTCTGGACCTTCTCCATCCCCTGAAACCTTTGCAGTCTGCAGAAAAGTATGCAGTAGACTTCAGTCCACAAATGTTAGGTTTATCCTGATCTGCTATTTGTCAAAGTCCCTTAAAAAAAAAAAAGGACCCTCCTTTGCAGTTTTAGGAAATGTGTCGGGGAGGGGAGATGCTTAGGAGATCCCCAGGGAGCTTTTAAAATGCAAACTCCTTGGAAGGCTGTGATTTACATATCAGGTGGTATGTTACTGTAAGCCCATCAGCTAATGCCTTAATGAATTTTAGGTCTAGGGATTGGAGAGTCAGCCTGGGCTTCAAATTTTCTGACTTCATCTTAATTTTATGTTCCTGCTAGCCCGCCCAGAGCTTTCTGGCTTTTTATAAGTGGAGAAGTTGCAGGGTGGTGGATCAGAGGGACTAAGGAGACCTTGGCAGTGAGCCTTCAACTTCCTGCTTTAGAGAAGAGGCATGGAAGGGAGTAGGGGCAGGAGCCG